CCCTTCATCTCATAAAAGTGAGTTTGAGCAAATGATTATTGCAGGGTACAAGATAGTAATGGTAGTAGTAGCCCAATTTAGAGTAATAATACATGGCTCAAAACTTAAGCACCTTCTCAAAACAGTTCTGAAGGATGCTTTTTGTTTACGTTTGCTGACAGACACCAGTGTTTCCCACAGACTGCAAATTAATTCTCTGCCAGCAAAGGCTGTAATCAAATAAGCGCTGCTCATCAGGCATTTGGTTTAAGAAGCGGTCTTTTACTTGACTTTCGCTTGAAAACCATCCATCGTTTCCTCATTATGCGTGTCATTTTTGCTTCGCAGAGCTTCGCGCTCTGCGCAGCAAAGAGCTATACTCTCTAAGCGCTGTTTCGTTATGTTTTCGCTTTTATCCAAAGCGACTTACAAATGAGGACAATAGAAGCAATCAAAACCAACAAAAGAGCAATAATATGCAAGTGCAATATTAGTATATTATTATAGTGTTATATTTCAATTTCACAAAGAAATGTACAGTATTTTGTCCAAGCAATAATAAAAGGACACATTTAATTTATAATTTGTCTTAAATCTCATTTTGTAAAAAAAAAAATTGTGAATCGAATCGTGAGTTGAGTGAATCGGTACATCCCTATAATCGGCCGATGCCGTTTAATTAAAAAAATGCCAAAAATCGGCCGATCAAGCGGTCGACCTCTACTCATATAATGACCATGTAATAAAACTGTAAACATAAACATGTTTATGTAAATAAACATGTAATAATATTACCTCCTTGTGTCAGTTATGAAATCTACAAACAGCCTTGTCAATACATTTTAATTTTTTTAATTTGAATTTTAATTAAATACTTTTGTTCAAAAATCTAAATATTGACGTCTAAATATCATCAGCTATTGAAAATAATTGTTTTAATCTACTAAATCTATCACTCATCCAAGGCGATGTGTACAGTGCCTTTGTGAAAGTATTCATACCCCTTCATTTTTTTTCATGTTTATTTATGTTGCTGCCTTATATTAAACTGCTTTAAATTACTTTTTTTTCACATCAATCTACACTCCATACACCATATTGACAAAGAAAAAACAGAATTGTCACAACTTCGTAAATTTATTAAAAAAAATTAAAAAACCTGCAATAAGTACATTGCATAAGTATTCATACCCTTAACTAAATATTTAGCTGAAGCACCTTATTACAGCCTCAAGTCTTATTTGTTTGATGCGACAAGCTTTTCTCATCAGCATTTGGCAATTATCTGCCATTCTTCTCACTTCTCAAGCTCTACGTCAGGTTGGATGGGGGCAGATGCACATTTTCAGGTTTCTCTAGAAATATTTGATTGGGTTCAAGCTCAGGCTCGGCCACTCAAGGACATTCACAGAGTTGTCTTTAAGCCACTCTTGTTGTGTGCTTAGGGTCATTGTCCTGTTGGAAGGTGAACTTTCTGCCCAGTCTGAGGTTCTGAATGCTCTGGATTAGGTTTTTATTAAGGCTAACTCAATATTTTGGTGCATTGAGCTTATCTTCTACTCTGACGATTCCTACAGTCCCTGCTGCTGAAAAACAGCCCCACAGCATGAGGCTGCTACCAGCACACTTTACTTTTGGGATGGTACTCTGCAGGTGATGAGCAGAGCTGGTTTCCTTCAAACATGATGCTTAGAACTGAGTTTCATCAGACCAGATAATCTTGTTTCTCAGAGTCTGAGGGTCCTATAGGTGCTGTTCTGCAAATTCCAAGTGTGTTTTCATGTGTCTTAACTGAAGAGAGGATTGAGCTAGGCCACACCGCCATAAAGCCCAGATCGGTGGAGTGTTGCAGTGATGTTTGTCCTTCTGTAGATTTCTCCCATCTGCATATATGATCATGGAGCTAGGGCTGTGCAAATAATCAAATGAGATTTTTCCAGCACGTGCATTCAGATGGATTTACTACACAGAGCCGTAGATCACTGACAAGCTAAGCAATATCGCGTTCAAAATCGGCAATGAATCGTCTGTGATTTTGAACGCGTTATTGCGTAGCTTGTCAGTGAACTATGGCTCTGTGTAGTAAATGCTGCTCCATCTGAACGCACGTGCTGGAGATTTACTACTAATCACAAAACTGGCTTTACTGACGAGATGCACATGAAAATCGTATTCGATTATTTGCACAGCCCTACATGGAGCTCAACTAGAGTGACTATCAGCTTCTTGTTCACCAGTCTAGACAAGGCCCTTCTCCATCAGTTGCTCAGTTTGTCCAGGAGGCCAGCTCTAGGAAGAGTCCTGGTTGTTTCAAACTCCTTCCAATAAGGATAACAGAGACTACATGCTTCTGTGACCCTTCAATGCAGCAGAAATTTTTCTGAACTCTTCCACAGATGTGTGGCTTGATGCAATCCTGTTTCTGAGCTCTACAGGCAGTTCTTTTGACCTCAGGCTTGGTTTTTTCTCTGATATGAATTAGGGCTGGGTGATATGTCAAAAATATCTTATCGATAATCGCCTTTAAAAATATCGTGATATACGATAATACCGTCTACCTAAGCCCCACCTCCACCACGCCCCGCCCCCGCTGAGACAACACTGCCGACACGCACCATAAACACACACCATATTCAGTTTGGTCTTAATTATTGCCACAAAGTTTGGTTTTATTTTCTTAGTTTGTGCTATGCATTATTAGCTGTTAGACCTTTTAAGATGTGTGTGCCTTTCCAAATCATACCCATTCAATTTAATTTACCACATAGCTTCTCAGTGAACTACGGCTCTGTGAAGTAAATGCTGCTCCATCTGAAAGCATGTAAATACCAGATTTAATAACATATTTTTACTCCAAACTCACTTCATAACATCAGTCGAGTGTTTGAAATAAATTTGTTAATAAGTTTGAGATGATGTGGCTTCTTACACAGAATAAGGCACGCAACATAATCGCAGCTTCTGTCGAATCGCGATCTCGATTCCATTTCAATTTATCATGCAGCCCTAATAGGAATGCTCCTGAGCTAAATTTCAACTGTCCCAGATAAGGGTATGAGTACTTATGCAATGGAATCATTTAAGTTTTTTATTTTTAATACATTTGCAAATATGTTAAAAACCAGTTTTTTTGCTTTACCATTATGGTGTATGGAGTGTAGATTGATGTGGGAAAAAACGTAATTTAAAGCAGTTTAACATAAGGCAGCAACATAAAACGTGAAAAAAATGAAGGGGTAAGAATACTTTCGCAAGGCACTGGACTTATTATAAGGACAAGGGTTTGATCGTAGAAACTACGCAAATCTATTCCAATCTAAAGCAACAACGTCACAATATTCACAAATCAATGTAAAACAAATATCTATACATACAGTATACTGACAATTTAACAAATATCACCTTGATTTTTTATATTGTCGCAAAATGTAAATATATTATCGCCTGCACAAATCTTCTAAATGCGACTACAAGGCGTGAATATATTAAAATATTATAAACATTAACATCAAGATTTTGTGTAAAGCTGTTTTTAAACAATGACGTGACCGTTCAGTACAACCAATACTGTATCGATTAGCTATCGACTGTCATCTATTCCACCTCTCACAGAAATTCACCATGGTAACAAAGGCTTTAACTAAAAAAATTACAATTACTACAGGTGCTGTTATTACATTAAAAGTATATTTTGCCACTGTCAACAAAAAATGAAACAACGTAATAGAAAAACCTCTGGCAGATTCCTAAGTTACTCTGTTTGAATCAGACGCTGTTAACTTTTTAAGGTTTTACACTAGTAATTATGGTATATTCGGAGGGGACGCAGTAACCTTATTACCTTTTAGAAATGGATAACCCCCACTGTGGAATTGACAACACGGTGTTTACTATTAGTAAAGCCCTCTCTGCTCTAAAGGCTGACTGACAAAGTGAGCCACAGCCTGCTACTGCTAACAAACCCACCCACTCTCCGCTTATCGACACCTAGCTATTCTTATCCAGTGAGAACACGTTTAACATACGTGTGTGTATTCTTTAAGTATATGTAGTGGTGTAGCTTATGCGAACATACAGAGAAGAATATGTTTCAGTTTCCGCTCGCTGAACATTAGCTCGCCTGCTAAACACAAACATCAACACACGCCACTTACTGTAAAATCACCGTCCCGCGCTCCGACCATCCACTGTAGCGCTATCTTGAGTCTAAGTGACAAAACACCTGTGTTTCCACTCTCACAAACACAACGCTCAATTAAACTGATATAGGCGTTTGACAGATATTTCTCTGTGAAACATGGCGATAGACCGATTTTTTTTTCTTTCTTCTCCGAATACCCGGAAACACTCGACACAGAGCGTGACGTTTACTTGACTGACGGGCTCTTGCCCAATCGCGTTACAGAAAGAAAGCGTAACTAATGTGTGAGGGCGGGACTACCATAGGTTTTGCTTCCCTTCGTTTTCTTGCAGCGCTGCACCCTTTGGCTGCAGCACGAGTTACTACTTTGCATGCATTATGAGAATGTATTAATTAGACGAAATTATATGTAATTTATCCATATGAATTAGCCCTAAAACACACATTTTAATACCTTAAAATATTGGCAACGTAAAATCTTTTAACATTTTCACCATTATTGACCAGGAAAAAGAATTGTTGAATTTGAGTTATTTCTAGACCCACAATTCCAGTAACTGTTTAAAGACAAGACTTTTCATAGCATATTTCGAAATTAATCAACAAACACAAAGTAAATATAAAAGTGAAATTTATTCAATTACACACACCCATACCACATGCATTCTGCACATATATTTCATTTAGGCTTTGCGAATGGAAATAAAAAGACAAAAACACCAGAAAACACATAAATACTGTAACAACAACATATAGAAATAGTCAATCGTCCTCAATTTAGCACAACTATTATTTTAAAAATGTTCGTGCACATTCATCACAATCATTCTACACAATTCTGACTAAAAAACCTTGAAATTAAATGTATTATCATTTAAGTTAAAAACACCTTTAGAGTTATTGCCATTGGAAAATGCAAAAATAGTGCAAGTTATGAATATGACATGAAACGCTGGAAGTATAACAGATTGTAACTCTCCGAGTGTCCAGTGAGATTAAACAAGCTAGGTCATTTAAGGCACTATCAAATCACTACAAAAACTAAAGACCTAGTCATCCCAGCAAGCTGTGCAAAAGTCCTTTACTTGCAATAGATTCTAAAGCAAACTGAAAACTAAAACCACTTTCAGACTGACAGCTAAAACAGATAAATATAAAATGCTACACACAAGATACTGACTGTCTTTGCATTTGACTGTCTTTGTATTGCATTTCCTTTGACTTTCAGGTGTTAATTAACCCGAAATGAGCCATTAGGCTTGTCTCTGCAGTGGTTCTTTTCAGGCATCCAGAAGGCAAATGGGTTTATAAAGTGCTTCACTGTATCACACACACATGAATAACAGTATGATTGTCAATATAATACAAATCTCAAGTATTTTTTTTCCAACCTCATATGACAACATATGAAACTGACAGTCTTTATCAGTAGGTCTACAAAGGTTTGCCACAATTTTGGTCAATTGCCACATTAGAGTCTTAGAGATGTAACACTGAATGCTACACATCCACCACCGGCTGCTATTTCAACAACGGTTTGGTGACCACAGAGGTTTAATTATAAGTCATTATTATGAATTCCCTTCAGATACAGCAGATAACTATCATTTCCTCCAAATCATGCAAAAACATGCAGAATAAGTCCATCAAAAACAGAATCATTCCATGTAACTTCATGAGACTAATGCTACAGGCATGTTTTAGTGTGATAGAATGAAAAGCATCCAAGTTGTTACTCTTTCAGACTCCAACACTGGCTTTAACATTGTAGTGCTAAGATTAAATTAATCTCCGAGGAAGTGTCATCATGCGTTGGTGTAGATTCAGAGGTCAAAGCATTTAAACATGACATCTATTCAACCAATGATGCCGTCTTGATTCACTCAATATGCTTTTACAGTGAACAAAATAGATGTTTATGTCTGCAGATGTTGCTTTTGTTTATATATACAAATATCAATAGAGATGTAATCTCTGTCTATTATGAAAAGTCTTTTCTCACCTTTTTTTTGGCTTTGGAAGCCAAGTATCACATTTTTAATGAGTGGGTGAGTGTGAGTTTTTCCTCTTACAGAATTTCAAATGGCGACTGGGATGAAATGAGATGTAGATGTTGTGGGTTTGATGCATAGCAAAAACAACAAGGGTTCATCACACACATCCTTTGGGCTGGAGGGAGGAGAGCCGCCGCTCAATACACTGTTTACCTACAGACACAGAACAGACAGACAAACTCAGAGATGAGTCATAAATATTTTTTACAATTTAAAATAACTGTTTTATATTTGAATATATTTTAAAATTTGTTCCTGTGACAGAAAAGCTGAATTTTCAGCAGCCACTACTATCTATCTATCTATCTTTGAAATAAGAAATCTTTTGTAATATCATAAATGTCTTTTGAATGTCACTTTTGATCATATTAATGCATGGATTAATTTCTTTCCCCAAACATTTGAACGGTAGTCTATGCGTGTCATACTTACATTTGTTGATATTGTTTAGATCTGCAGTCTCTGTAATAATTAAGGACAGACCCTCCATCAGCAGTAAGGCCTTATGGTATCGCTCCACAGAGGTTTCTCCATGATGAAACATCTCGTCCAGTGCTGCTGTTTGTACCTGATCACATAAGTAAGTAACGCAATTCATACTCCGTATTATACTCATATGTTTCTCCTCATATTATAAGAAACACAATGCGTATATGTTCATACCATCTGAATGGTGTGTGTGTAGATGAGTCTCTCAGCAGTAATGCTGTTGATGCGGTCCATCAGTCTTTGTTTGCTGCTGAAGAAGAGCTGGAGTTTCTCAGTGAGAGAACGGCAGGAGTTCACACTCTTCTTATACATCTCGTTCAGCTTACTTACTACTGCAAGTACATAACATGACATAAAATGAATGTCTTAATTACAGTATATGCAATTTTTTATTGATCGTATGCAACATTTACAATGGTACAAAAGATTTCTATTTTATATAAAGACTGTTTCTAGTTTTCTAACTTTCTATGACTTGCCTTGTTTAACAGATCCTGATGGGTAGAGTGTGCCTTCTTTGATCCCAGCCATCGCTGTGTGAAGCGCAGAGGACAGCAGCTCAGCACACTTCATATAGAGGACCAGCTGCTCTGCAGAGCTACATACACATGTGCACATCACTCACAGTGTATAGTGTACATATCACAGACTTCACACATAAAACGTGTGTGTGTGTTTATGTATGTGTCTCACCTCCACTCACGGCTCAGCAGGCTGATTTGGTCGGCCACCACCACGCTCTGCTCTAAGAAAGAAGCATCAAGTGCCATATTCCTTTCAATCCCACAGTCCTTTGTTCCAGCGACCTCTGTGATGCAGTGGGCAAAGGCTAAAATAAAGCGCAGTTGGCTCAGCAAGTCTGTATGCCCCTCCTGTGATGAAGAAGAGGTGGACATCACATTCTGAAATTAACTTTCAATAAAACACACAATACCAGGTACAATAACTTGCTCTCTAGTATACTCAGTTCTGATTGGTCAATAATGAAATTCTATGGTCATATAGACTACAACTTCCAAAGTTTGGGGTCAGAAGTTGTTTTTTTATTATTAATTAGTACTTTTATTCAGCAATAATGCATTAAAACAGATTAAAAATGTCAGTAAATACATTTATAATGTTACAAAAGTGTTCTTTTAAACATTCTATAATCACATAATCTTTCAAAAAAAAAGTATCACAGGTTCCACAAAAATATTAAGCAGCTCAACTGTTTTTAACATTGTCAATAATAAGAAATGTTTCTTGAGCAGCAAATCAGCATATAAGAATGATTTCTGAAGGATCATGTGACACTGAAGACTGGAGTAATGATGCTGAAAATTCAGCTTTGTTATCACAGGAATAAATGACATTTTAAATATATTCAGATAGAAAACAGTTATTTCAAACTGTAAAGATATTTCAAAATTTTATCACTTTTACTGTATTTTTTATTAAATAAATGCAGTTTTGATGAGCATAAGAGACTTATTTCAAAATCATGAAATCTTATCAACCCTAAACAGTAGTGTGTTTTTGCATAATGACTGTATAATTGACCGCTAACCCCTGCAATTGATTTTCTACATATTTGTGCTAGATTAATGTCTCTCATATCATCTCCATCTTCTCACATGACACAATTAATTAATCTAAAAATTAATATGTCACATTAATATGTCACTATATATTTGATAAAAGACAATGTCAGTTATTATCAAAAAATAAACCCCTTCAGGATGATGCAAGACCATCTTGGTCATCCTTTATTTTAAGATGATAACTATCTGGCTGACTGTCTAAATGACTGTATCCTTCATACATAATGTATAGCCCAATTATTTTACCTCCATGAGCGTCTCCTCTGGCAGTTCAGGTGGCACAAAGGCCACACCCTCACATAGGTTTGTTGCCATGTCATCTGTGTAACCATATCGCAGACTATCAGGCGAGCTGTAAGCCTCGTGCAAATGACCGTAGGTCCAGCCAGGGCTTGTTGGGCTGGGAGTGCCCACTTCAACAGCAAATGTGGTGAATTGAAGATACATTGCGAGTATAACAGATACAATAACATGCAAATATAATACTTGTGTTTCAATGTCATAAAGTAAAATAATGTAAGTGTCACCTGATAAGCGTCTAGGTCGAGTGGCGTGAGGAGGTGTGTGTCCATCACTGACACCAGGGGGTGCTAGAGAGATCAGGACGCAATGCCATTTTAAACAGCATGGGATTTTTAAAACATTATCTATGACTAACTGCAGATATAAAGAAAACATATCAATGAATTTCCACAACATTTCAATAACCATTCTAATCATTTGTGATTACTGCATAAGATAAAATAAAATAAAAAAGAAAAGAAAAGAAAGAGCTCTACCTGTTGTGTCCATGGGTTTCTCTGAATTTAAGCTCTCACAGCTGCTCCTGTCAAACTGATGTCCAAACACAGCCAGCAGCAGCTTATCTGAGAGACGGCCGGTACTTAATGACCTACAGCACAAATGACCCATAAACACAGCTCTAGGGAACAAACTCATCTAACGGCAATCATATCACAGCAGTAATTCCAGTGCTGATTATAAAATATAAATTATCATCATAACTGCATCATAAGCTTTCTTCACCCTTAACTAAAGCCAAGTTGACTAATACCTTTTGACGGTGTCCCTTCTTTCCGCTGGCCTAAAAAGTGGCACGCGGGGCCCTGTAGCCGGGTACTGTGCCAGATCTTTCAGTTCAGACATGGTCTTGTTTCGGGTGATCAGGCCTCTCTGAACCATCACTGTACTTGGAGTTTGACCAGAGATGGGTTGCCGACACAAATCCCACTGAAATGAAATGTAGTCACATATAGCTGAATTTTCAGCATCATTACTCCAGTCTTCAGTGTCACATGATCCTTCAGAAACCATTCTAATATGCTGATTTGCTGCTCAAGAAACATTTCTTATTATTATCAATTTTGAAAACAGTTGTGCTGCTTAATATTTTTGTGGAAGCCGTGATACATTTTTTTTTCAGGATCCTTTAATAAATAGAAAGTTCACAAAACACAGAATTTATTTGAAAAATCATTTTTGTAACATTATAAACATGTTTACTGTCTCTTTTGATCAATTTAATGCATCCTCACTGAAAAAATGTATTACTTTCCTTAAAAAAAACGAAATAATACCTAAATAATTGGCCAAATACTCAGATGAATGCGTTTTAAATGTAATCATGTATTATACATAGCTCTGTGTTAAATCTAATGACTATGGTGATGGAGCTGTTTTTATATGTTGTTATGTTATGTTATGTTATGTTATGTTATGCCATGGCTACTCACTCTGTGCACGACAGATTCTGGATTGTGCCGATGTCCCCTGAGTCTGTGGGTTTGGTTTTTGTCCATGGCTGTGATGTCAGTGAAGAGAGGAGAGACCTGACCAGGCTGTTTATACACATCTGAGAGACAAAGAGAGACAGTTGGATAGTTAGAACGAGAAGTCTTAAAAAATCTAATTGATATGCAGTGAAACGGTATTTCACCTGCGGTATGCAACCCTGTCCTGCTGCCAACAGGTTCAGGCTGATTGGGTGTTTCAGGAGCATTTCCCACTGAAAAAGGAATAAACAACACATCAGTATCTTCTATATGATCTACAAAAACACACAGTCTCCTCACCTTTGACCAATTAATTTATACCTTTATCTTAGTATTGTTTAAATGTAATTATATTATTTACAGATATTTTGAATATCCTTGGAAAAAAAAAAAACCTGAGCTTTTATTTTTATATTTTTAGTTTCCTTTTAATTTGAGTAAATATGTATTATTCATATAACATTTATATACAGCTGTAATTATTTTTATTTGAGTTTTAGATTTAGCAGTTTGTTGTTTTTTATCAGTTAGCTGGCAAGGCAACCGTTTTTCATGTAATAATTATATTGTATTTCAATTTTCAAAAATAATTTTAATAGCAGTTTAGTTAACAAAAACAACACTGATCTCCATAACTGTGTTGAGGGTTTTCAAAAATTATTTCGATTCAAACGGATTAGCAAAAGATTTCTGTTATTTCCAGCTTCCTACTAAAACTACAGTTAGAGTCTCTTCCTCTATTAGTGAAGTATGCAAATCAACACACAGGTCTGCAGTGAGCTGCTTTATTTACCCTGTGGGGAGGGTAGATACGGTCTGGATCCTGCTGATTCTGGGGAAGCCCCGATTCTCCCACATGTTGGAACTCTATTTGAGCAGCAGTGTTGTACAGGTGCTGCTGTCCTGAAATTTGAGAAATAAGGGAATGCATTAGGGAATCACAAACGCATTTATGTATCTAATTTATGTCAGAGAGAGCGATATAGAGATAAACCCAACCTGTCAGACACTTGTAGATTCTGCTCCATCCTCTGGTAGTTGTGTTTTTGTGTCGGCACTGGAACAGGCACGGACTGAGCGTAACTACTGGCACACGACTCCAGAGGCCTAGAGAGAAAGAGTGAGAGAAAAGGGGTGAATGATTGCCATGTCATGTGCACAAACATACATTTAAACCATTTGTTCCCTGGTGGTCTGTGAATTACTTTCATCTCTAGAATTCCCGCTTTCTCCGGTCACGTTAACTCAGACAGCTGTCTCTCACTTCACACATGCAAACAAAGCCTATTGTTTAATGTGAGCTGCTCGCCTTCAGAGAGAGTGTGCGTTATGTTTTTACAGTCTCTACAGTATTAAATGCTGATCTCCATACTAAAACACACACAGTACCTGGAAGGGCTTGGGGAGGCTCTGACAGAAGGGGAGGATGATGGCGTCCGACCCACACCCATCAGTGAGCTTCTAGAAATAGGACAAAGACATGTACACAGTTATGTTTAAACCATCCAGCTGTATAATTACAACACTGCTTAATAATTTGGGTTTGTAAGATTTCTTAATGTTTCTGAAAGAAGTCTCTGATGCTCACTTTGCCATCACAGGAGTAAATTAAGTAATTTTTAATTCAGTTTTAGTTATAGCAATTTTAGTACTTCAATTTAAACTTAAAAAAATAATAAATTCAGTTTGAATTCAGTTTGTTAAATAGAAGTTTTTCATCTAAAATGTATATTTTTTCAGATTAAATTAAATTATCCTTTTAATTTTTTTTATTTAAATTTAAAATATCTCTTTATTAAATTAACCTTTTTAACATTTTTAATAGCAATTTTAGTTAACAGTAACAATACTGATTTCCATGATCTTTCCAGCTATTTGTAATTCATGTGTAAAGAATTTGTTAAAACATTATCTTGATTCAGATGGATTTGCAAAAGAATCGTTCATACTTGTCTAAAACACAGGAGTACATTAAAATTTTTGTTAAAAAAATATATAAAAACTTTTATATTTTTTATTATTTTATATTTCACAATATTACTGTTTTACAGTATTTTAATCATTACAACCTTAATGTTCATAAGATACCTCTTAAAAAAAACGACTTACTGACCTTTAAACTTTTAAACTGTTGTTTACAAACATGTGCATCTTAACTAGTCTCTTAACTAGGTCATAAATGCATAAGTTGACAGACACGTATGTTAAAAAAACCTGCTAGAGTGTATTTGTAAACTTATTGTGGAAAGAGATTTTTGCTGTCTTAGACTGTAAGGTCTTCCCTCTTTCTTTGCACAAATGTGTCAATGCGTAAACAGCCCTCTTCACAGAACCATAAAAATGGTCAGCAGGTCAAAAGGTCAACTGACACCCTTAAAATGAATATTCATGACACGTGACATGCTGGCAAGCAAGCAAACCATTATATTAAGTGCAGAAACAAAATGCTTCTGTGCATGTGTGTTATATGAATGTGCAGGCTACAGTTGAGGAGCATGCCACATGTAACTATATATGCTATGTGCGTGAGCCCTGTCACTTTAACACTTAAAGGCATGGAAAAAATGTAAACCCACTTACCCGCTGCGCATCAGACTGTCCTGCCCTCCTGCACTGACTAGTTCACCTGCAAGAGTTATCAGATTGAGATTTAGTATTTGTGCAAATAAAGCAGTTTTGTCTGTTATATAATCCAAAGTAGGTCAAAGCGTGTGAAAGCTCATCTTACTGGTGAACTGTGCCGGCACCATTACAAAGTCATCAGAGTCTGAGGAAGATGAGTCTTTCAGCAGGGAACCTGGAGATGGTGTGGGGTTCGTTTGAGGGAGGGGCCTCGGAGCTTCAGTTTCAGACTGTCACGAAAAAACTTCATATACATTACTGTTCAAAAGGATTCTTTGATGAATAGAAAGTTCAAAGGAACAGCATTTATCTGAAATAGAAATCTTTTGTAACATTATACATATATTTAGTGTCACTTTAGATCAATTAAGTGCATCCTTGCTGAATAAAAGTACGAATTTCTAAAAACTGACCTCAAACTTTTGAATGGTAGTGTAGCTATATGCTACTGTATACATGAAAATCACAGTACACCTCAAAGAGATCCTAAAATTCATGCATCATGTGCTGTTATTGTGGTACCCGAGTAGGAGTGAGGCGAGAGGTTGAGGAAGCGCTGCTGGAGCTCCCAGAGGCAGAGCTGGGATAGGTGGGCATGGGCACTGGAGAGGCTAAGAATATAATGAACAAACTGAAATCTTACTGTAACCAAAACTATAGCAGATTTGGATAAACAAAGTGATGTACATCACAATCTTACATTTCTTCATGGATGTACTAGCCTCCAGGAAAGGATGGTGGAAAAGTTCATCTAGAATAGACCATAATCACTTTATTATAATCATTTCCTTGAAATTACAATGTCTCAGTTTATGATTTGCTGACGAGTGTTGTAAAGTCAAGTGTGTGATTGTGCACGTCTGTCCACTGACCGAAGTCCATGCGCTCCCCATGGTTCCTCTGCAGCAACCCAAGTAGAAGGTGCCTGAGGTGACTGGAGGTTTCCCGTGGAATACTGGGAAAAGCAGCGGAGTTAGACACTGACAGGAATCACATAGTCACATGTTTATACTGTCGTGCAAGAGCTCTTTGAGTTGACAGAATAAGTTAAAAAAAAAGTCATACTCATGAATTCAAACAATGCAACGGTCTACATACATAAATAAATAAAACTTTACCATGAATGATGGAAAGGAATGAAATATGGAAAAACAATGAGAGAAAAGAAACCAGTTCTACTGCACCATCATAACCTTACATTCAACCTTACATTCATAACATATAAATATGAGCTATGGTACACTACTTTTTAAAAATTTGGGGTTGATAAGAATTGTAATTATGCTCACCAAGGCAGCATTTATTTGATCAGTAAAAATAGTAATATTCTGAAATATTATTACAATTTAAAATATGTTAAAATATAATTTATTCCAACAAAGCTGAATTTTCAGCAGCCATTTCTCCGGACCTCAATATCACACGATCCTTCAGAAATCATTATGATATGCTGATTTGACGCTCAAAAAACAGTTCAGTCAAACATCTCAGTATATGAACAGAAAGATCATGAAAAGAAAAGAACAGCATTTATTTGAAATAGAAATCTTTTGTAACATTATAAAAGTGTCTTTCCTGTCACTTTTGATCAGTTTCGTCATTCCTGAAACAAACGTATTATTCTCTTAAAAAAAATCTCACCAACCCCAAACAACTTTTGAAAGGTAATCTGAAGTTGTCAAATTTATGACACCAGGGACCTTTGCGCCTGTTGTGGCCAAACTAAACTGGATCATGTTGACTGATGACTAACATACAGTCCTCAGGGTCACTTACCTGGGACTCAGGCTCCGGTTTCTTTCATAGAACTGCCGCAGTTCCTGAGGAGTATTCGCCTGGAAAAGTATTTGAGAAATTTTATTGACATCATTATTACTTATTGATCATCTGAATAATTTGTATGGACAATAATACTGAGTTATAGTTTGTGGTGAGTACTGAGCAGTTCATCACATGGTATAACTGCATTCATCTTCGTAAACTCTGGCTGTTTGGGATGTAAACACATTTTTTCCAGGTCTGAGGTTAAATCTTAAGCTTTCTACGAATCATAAAGGCTTTCTAATGGCTGCAGGAACAAGCACTTGAAGTAGTATATCCATGCAGGAGGAGATAAAGACAATGGTTAGGATAGAGACAACTGATCTGTGATCTAAATGAACTCAGTGACCCATCTTGACCCATTCACAGACTGACATTGCGTTACAGAACTGTCAGGAATTCCTAATAAATTACCAACTCTTTCTAAAAGCTAAAAATACAAACCCATAAATAGATGCGGTTGTGACCATGTGATCAGACGGGCTTCACATGTTAGCCGTCTGGACTCTGGAAGCTGTATGACCAGAGGTCAACTGGGTAAACTTTACCCACAAATCAGCCCTGCTAACAGCAGCATCTGGCTAAAAGCTTAGCTGAAGAATCCAAATAATACTTAATGGCATGCGCGTCACCTTTTCAGGATTGTGTTTTGAACTAATGACCAGCCTGTGGCAATATTCAGTGGAAGTATTGCAGCAACAAACTACACACACATGCATATTCTGCAATATGATCATCACAAAGAAAAAAGAAGAACTCCCTGTTCTGGTAGTGAAACTACAGAGATGCCACCCATGTGAATGGGCATGTGTGTATGTATGGGTGTGAGTGTTTGTTAGTAAACCAGAGGGTGTGTTTAGTTGCAGAGGCATGTGGTTTTGTTTATCAGTAAGATGTCACAATCATGTTTCACACTCTACAGGGCATAAATAGCTAAGTGGTGCCAGCCAGTTGCACTTTCGCAATTGAAGCGATCCAGAACGGACTGACGCAGTAGAAACTAACATTCGGTGGCATTGCTTGCATTTCTCCTTGATAACAATATGCTACCGTTCAAAATTTGTAGTTAAAAAAAAAGGAAATTAATTATATGCTTATTAATACCTATTCAGCAAGAACAATTGAACAATAATATTAGGCATACACTAAAATATACAAAAATATTAATCTAAAATAAAAAATAATATTGCACAATATCATTGTGTTTTACTATATTTTAGATCAAATAAATGTAGCCTTGGCGACCATAAAAGACTAAATAATTTTAAAACTTTCCTCCATGAACAATTTTCAGCGAATAACAATTTAAATTCTGGTCTGTTCCAGAGACATGAGGAGGAGTAAATGATGAAAGGATTTTAATTTTTAGTGAACTTTCCCATTAAATCAATCCACAGTGTTTAAAGAGGAAGTCCAAGAATATATAGTGGAGAATTTAAAACCATGACCACAGAAGAATCCACAAATGTGTGAATATCAGGTGAAAAGATGCTTTCTCTCTCAGGGTCATACATCAAGTCTGTTTTTGCAAGTGTGTGTATGTTACGGACCTGAAATGGGGCTTTGCCAGTCAAGCACTGGTAGATGATGGTCCCTACACTCCACAGGTCAGCTTTGGCATCATAATTCTGTGACATGATAACCTCAGGAGCCTGTAAAAATTAACAAGATGAGTAGCAGTCTCAGTATTTTGCTGTAGTCACTCAAAAATATCTGGTGTAAGTCATACAGAGTAAGTCTGAATATCTAATACTTGGTTATTTTATTTTAATAAATAAAATCAGCACTTTATTGTGACATATACTGTAAATTTCCTGTAGGGCTACACTATTATGAAATCCAAATAAATACATGTGCCGTGTATTTTAGAGTGAAGCGTGGCACTATGTTCTTTTACACACATGCAGCTGGTGTTTTCAGTGTCTCAGAGCAGCTCAGTTCAACACATTTGGGAATGCAATACGCGCTAACATCTTCCCATACTTGTAAGTAGAAGCGTTTATAAACCAGCTGTTGCCAACCAAAGAGAAGCTTTAAGGTGGTTGAATGAAAGTGACTAAATTAAGACCATAGCTATAATACAGCTGTACTGAAAAATAAAATAATTATTTTTCTTAAATACCTTTAAATAATATTCATTAATATTATTATTTATTATTGTGTTTAATAATTTAATTAAGTAATAATAATATAATCTTAATACCTTAATAAAATAATAAAAAATACTTAATTTATTAATACTTTGTTTTTTAATCACATTTTAAATTGAAATTGCAATTAGATTTTTCCCCAAGTCATGCAGCCCTACTTTCCTGAGAATTTGGATAATATAAAACATGAAGTCAAGCACTCACCATGTACATTGGAGAGCCACAGAGTGTGGCAGCCATCGTGTTTCCCTGCAGATACCGTGCAAAGCCAAAATCAGCTGGAGAGACAGGGAGAGAGAAAGAAAAATCTATGTATATGGTGCTAAGCACTCAATTTGAGCGCTTGTTTTGGTAGTGAAAGATGGTGCACAAATGTTTACAGAGAGTGTCTTTTAGCTGAGAGTGTTTCTGTTTAGCTGTAACTTTACACAGCTATGTAGTGACACGTAGTGTGTCTACAAAACACTCAAGAGCAAACAGAACAACGTCGTCAGCACCTAAAACAAACCGCAGTCATAACACAAGAACAAAAACACCACAACCAAGCACTGCCAAAGCTGATAACTCAATCTCATAGCCTCATAATCAGTACAAACTGATCCTAACCAGTCTTTGCGTTTCCTTTAGAAGGTGTACTCTGACCCGGCACACTCACCCAGTTTGATGCAGATGTTGTTGGGGTTGGACTTGCGCCCAGTGCTGTACGAAAGGAGAATGTTTTGGGGCTTCAGGTCACGATGGATGATGCCTTTACTCCTTAAAACACTCATGGCTCCCGCTAACTGCTGCAGCAACACACGGATCGTGTCCTCGCTCAGAGAGCCTTTAGCTATGGAGAAAGAGTTAGGAGCAATAACTGATTTCATTTCAGAATAGGATTATTCTGATGAAAACTCTTTGAATTGTGGGATATTACATCATTGTTTACATAGAGTTAGCATCCACCAAAAACAAAAAGTCTGGCTGGCATCCACCTCCAAACCCACCCACCCCCTTCTCTCAGGTCACCTCTTTCCTTCCCGTCAAAACATGCTTGTTTCATGAAGTCTTATTTTTAGCCCCCATATTTTTCCACTGCAGGACAGGGCAGTTAACAGACTGACAGGTGGATGAGGTCAGGCTGTGGCTTGAGTTTCAGCAGGGGATCTTGGTTCTGTGCCAGTGAGTCTGTGGCAAGAGGTGAGCGGGTGAAGGCAAACACGGCCCCTGATGAGGCTGGCATGGGACCTAACAACGCTACAAAGTCTGACAGCTTAAAACAAAGCGGCCAACGCAAACATGGTAAATGTAGTCACGCTGGAAACTTTATGGTTAGATGAAGATGTATTTTAACCCCGAAGAAGTGTGTGTGTGCGGATGAGACCACTTCCAAAGGGGCTCTATTTGTGGCAGCACATGTGTGAAACAAGCTATTCTCAGAGGTCCTGAATTATCTTTCTCAGGAAAGATCAGGCAAGTTGTTTGTTTGCTGAAAATGTCTCTGCAGTTCCAAGAGCGAGTCCAAGACCAAAGAAAGTTCAAGGCTTCAACCTTCGAGAAACTGATTTTGGTCTAAAATTCTGTCAACAATCAATCTTTATTATACAAACTTTAGGATGCATCATCCTTTTGTAAATCAACAAGATGCTGATGAATAAACAAAGCAAAAATGTTATTCTAAAAAGGACATAGAAGGACAATATATCAAGCATGGTTATTATAATTCATTAAAACTATAAAAATATTTTTGTTCATTTAAATAAAGCTAAAATAAAAGGTAAACATCAGATGAAAAACTAACAAAATCAGAAATGTTGCCTTGGTGACTAACTGAAATAAGATGAAATTGAAATAAGCTGATTAAAACACTAAAATTGAAGTAAATTGGAATTTTTACTTCAGCACAACTTTAAAATTGAAGTAAAGTTGAAGCACTAAAATGAATACCTAGAAATAAATACAAATTAAAATTCAACTAAAACTGAAATATATCAAATTAAAATGAAAACGTGATTAAAATTAAAAAAGAAAATATAAAAATAAAAGCTTATTCAAAAGAATAAAAACAAACAATACTAGTATATTTTAAAAAAATAAAAAAATTAACCATATCAGTTAAACGACAATATTCTTTTTCTAATCAGTATCAGCTGCTATTGGATATATATTGTCTGATATTGGCTATTCAATTGTTCATGCCCATTTTCAATATTTTTACATTTAGATCGCCTTTGCCATCTAAACACTGTATAAAAACTCTAATAATTTAGTAACACTGTTAAATGTAATCTAAAAATGAATATTCATTTTTCACAATGTACATTACAATGTTGTGATGACTAAATTTACTTTCACTTTTACTTTGCATTTATTAGCTGGCTTTAGGTTTTTGCATTTACATTTCTATGATGTCGATGAAACAATACACAGTTTCAATATCAACCATGAAATTAAAATAATTATTAGTATTGGCCAGTATTCTTGATGCATCTCAATTTGCCAACAACTGCATACAGGACAGGTTCAAATCTTTGTTGTGTTGTGGAGCCTCTGTGCTGCTCCAAAGTCTGAGCAAAGGTTCTACAATAAAATCTGCACTAAACTATGTCTACTCTGACCAGCTACAGAAATAGACCAAGCAGGTATAACAACATGGGAAAAATTAGACACCTCACTTGTACAATTATCCATTTACTAATCTGTTATTATAACAATTTCCTAATTTGTAACAATCAGTGGCACATATAATGGTGAAGTACAGATGACAGGTTGAAATGAGGCTAGTGTACTTACAGTGTAAATACTCGGCCAGGTCTCCTCCATTGCAGTACTGTAAGAGGAGACAGACAAACACTGGAAGTGTACAGTCAACTCAAAACAAACTCTCTCCAAAAGAAAGAGTAATCACAACAACACAAGGGCTTCAAATGGCTTTATGCTGACAATAATAACAGAGAGGTTTGCATTAAGCTTAGCATAAAGGGCATCCTGCAAGGGGAGGTGAAATTTGACCTCTGATTTCTTTCTCTACTTCACAAGTCTATTTTGAGGTTTACAGTGGGTATGTGAGAGGTGCAGCTCGCCATCTTGACTCACCTCCATGACAAGATAGACATATCCCGATATCTCCTGCAGACAGAGGCATGTGACGCACCATTAAACATTTACAATTGATTATATTAAAGAAACACCCAGCAACATGCCATATGACAGCCATGGCACGAACTCTTCATTGTCTTTATTGACTCACAACATATGTCACTGACATTGACTCATCATACAAAGCCTTCAATTACCTAAGCTTTCTATGAATAGTCTGTTATTATAGCGTGAGCTCACAAGCAATACAAATCACAATGTGTGCCTGCATTTCATGACAGGTTATATTTATTGACCAAATCAAGACTACTGAAAAGCTCTTATAGTGCAATAGTGACTAGGAGAAACCACCTCAAAAATGGCCTTTGACCTCTAGCCTGCATAATCAAACCTGATGTGGATTCTAGATGGTTTGTTACCCCTTCATGTCCGTGTATTTTACTGTAGAAATTCTGCTCCTGAAAGGTTTAATGGAGCAGATCAATATGTCCACACACAGGCCAAGAGCCATGGTGACCAGTTTGAATGAGGCATTTACATGGCCCACTTGTTGTGCAACCAAAGTCCCATTTGGCCGATGTCCATGCAGGCCCTGCGTGTCGCCACAGGCAGGACAGAAGCAGGAGGTGTCATTACCCACAGCTGACTGACATACAGATCAGCAGCCGGCCGGCGTGACAGAGTGCTGGGAGCAGCGTGCTTTAGTGAGCATGTCTGTTTAAATAGCATATTACACAAGCAAAAAAATTGTTTCATAAAAGATAACAGCCCCTTATGACTTCTAAGTTGTGTAACAGCTCATTTTTATAAGTGTGACACAATTATTATGGATAAAGGCTTAACGTTAAGCTTCCCCTGTATGTGTGTGTGTGTTGAACCGGTGAGAAATGAAACCAGGCCACCAGCAGTAATGCAAAGTAAACTAAGTAAAGTCCTGCCCAAGGCTATAGACCACACAAAGGGCAAATACACTTAAATTATCTTCTCTAGACATATTTACCAGGCCCTGGAGACGATTGTCAAAACATTATGACCGATTAGCACACAATACAAAGGAGTTTCGCAAAAAACAAAACACTAAAACAACATAAAGCTTAACGAACAAAGTTAAAGGTTTCCATGAGTGTGATATGGGGGACGAGAGTTGGGTTTCACTGACTAAGCACAAGTGTTATATCCTGTGCTATTTTTCAGCTTTCACGCAGGACAGCCGCCATCCACCTGTGCACATTGTGCTGCATTGGGCAGCTGATGGACCCTGGAGGACAAACCCAAGACAAATCCTGTAAGTGCTGGCCAGATGTAAATTAGACTGACACTGGAGCCAGTTAAAGGGGGTGGTCCTATAATTGCAGGCTTGTATAGTATCAAATGCACCTGTGTCAGTTCTAACAGTGCGTGAAGCATGAATTATTAGTGTGCATTCACTGTCAGGTCATTCTGTGAGGATATTGTGGTGAGAGGTTTGACTAATTATGCAGAGTGGTTCATTCAACTGCAATTCAGTTAAAAGTTACAATTTAAAAGAGCAATCTGGGACTAGATGCCTTGTGCAGTGAAGTAATGCTGCTACACTAAAAAGATTCATTTCATTAACAATTTATTTTAATTGTACCTTAATTTAGATCTGAGATTTCCAAACTTTTGTGTCAGCTGAACCCCTTTGACTTACGATATATATTTAAAGAACCCCCTGAGATTTTTAGTTAATATTTTAATAATTTAACAAAACATTAACATGTCAACACTCCCCTTTTGTCGGTCAATGACATACAGGTAAATATTATGTTGTATTTTATTTTGATTTGTTTCCCTTTCATTTATATATTTAAATTATAATTAAATGTATGAATTAATTAAATAAAATGATAGATTATAGATTATATAAGAAAAAGAATTTTATATGTGATTAAACTAACATTCAATAATTATTTTTTAATTTAACTTAATTTGTTCTTTTATTTTCTTCTGGTATTTTAACAGTACAAACAATCTGAAGTAAACTTGTCATACTCGCTCAAGGGCACAACACCGCAGGATGGAAGGTGTAACACGATGTGCTGTGTTTCTTAATCTCTCCACACCTGAGACAACCACCTGTTATCAGATCAGCCAGACTGCCTGGAGTCCTGTCCTCTATTCATTAAGATACATTGATAAGGGTATCCTACATCAGACAACGTCTGTTCTGTATGCAAATGATAGAGACAGGCAGTTAAATGGGTGTGCTGGGCTGGCAGGTGCTGGCTAATGCATGCACAGGTGTCAGGTGTATACTTCAACAGACATATAGACATCTGTCACGGCTGCCATTGTTTCTTGCCTGTTTACTTTTAGTACTTTAGCCACATCATGGAGTCCAGCTTGAAATTTAGATAATGATTCGACTGTTTCTGATGCAAGAGAATGCAACATGAAATCATTACTCATGGTGAGTCATATAAAGCCCACATCTATTCACTATGGCTGAAACTACTGATAGACTGCACATAGGGCGTGACGTCAGGGGCGGGGCTTAACGTTTAACCAATCAGATGAAGAGAACTGTCCCCATAACATCAACACTGAGCCATGCTATACATATCTTTAGTAACATGGTAAAGCTGTATGTTTCAACAGAATAGAAACCACCTGAAATAACACAGTTGGCTTATAAATACACCTCGAACAACTAAATTTGCCCGAGTTATAGCAAACAATTAGTAGGTACTTAGTAGGTACATACCTGAAAGTCCAGTAAACTGACAATGTTCTCATGTTTCAGCTCCTGGAGAAAACACACATTCACTATATTAGTGAGCAGAAGTCAATGCAATTGCTTCTATAAGGAACTGGTGATATTTGCTAAACCCTTTACACTGTTTATATAAATAGCCTTTCAGATAGCAAGAAGTCGAGTTTCGCAATGTTTACTATATATCTAATATATTTAATAGATAAACAAATACATTCATTTAAATAAAATAAATAACATTAAAAGTATAGCAAGCAAATTTGTGCGTACGCAAACGCACCCAAAGTGTAACTACGAAGCTCACCTTTAATATCCTGATTTCTTTTCCTAGGAGCGACTGTGATTTGGCGAGGTTTTTCTTGTTAATGCATTTCACCGCCACTTCAAAATCATGTTTCTGTGAATAAAGACATCGATTTACGTTATGACACTCGTGAAGAGTACTTTTTCCACACATAAAAAGCCGCAGTATACAGTTTAACTGACATCAACATTCCGAAATGTACATCTTAGCGTTACCTGTTTATGTCTTCCTTTGAACACCACAGCAAAAGCGCCGTGTCCTATCAAGTCCTTCCTGTTGAACTCGAATTTTCCAACGCTTTCCATCGCGTATAGACTTTAAATCTGCTCAGTAAATCCACAGGTGAGAGGTCAGGGTGTGAGGGATCTGTGTGTGCGCCCAGCACAGGACAAGCTGGACCCGTCTATCGCTTCCCATCCGCTGCTTTGCACCCAAACAATCTGACACTTCGGTCATGATCGGCATTCGCTACCTTGTTAATAAAAACAAAGTCACTGTCATCTTGATCGTATTATGTTAACCCTTTGTTCAAAAGTATGTCACCAAGCGTACAAAAGTGTACTAAATTAGATTCGGAAACTGTCAGAAACCGCCTCGGGTTCAGAGACGTATACTGCGCTGTTTTGGTCGTCACTTGCCAAACAAAGCTTGAAACTTGCGTGTGCGTTACACGCATGCGCACTAGCGCTCTGTCCGCACGCCAGTGGCTTGATGTGCGCATGCGCATGTCGAGGAGCCGCCGGGTCAAAATGTTAACCCTCGTGAGCTGCTGATGTTGTGGACAAATACACACTACTGGCCAAAAATATTTTTTTGAAAGAAGTTTCTTATGCTCACCAAGGCTACATATGCTTAATCAAAAATACAGTACAAAACAGTAATATTGTAAAATATTATTACAATTTTAAATGTTTACTTTTGTAATATATTTTAAAATTTAATTTATTCCTGTGATGCAAAGCTGAATATTCAACAGACAGTCTTCAGCGTCCATGATCCTCAAGAAATCATTCTAATATGCTATTATATGATTTTGTGCTCAAGAAACTTTTATTATTATCAATGTTGAAAACAGCTTTTGCTGCTTAATATTTTGGTAGAAACTGTGACACTTTATTTTTCAAGATTCGTTGATGAACAGACAGGCCTAGCTCAAATATCAAGTTAATGAATCCTTGCTGAATAAAAGTATACATTTTTTTCTCTCTCTATTCAAAAATCTTACACAACCATTCAAAACAAAAAAACAAACAAAAAAAAAACATTAAGAAGCAAAAACTGTTTTCAACATTGATAATAAGATATGTATGAGCAGCAAATCAGCATATTAAAATGATTTCTGAAGGATCATGTGACACTGAAGACTGGAGTAATTCAGCTCTTATTAAATTCAGCTCTGCATCACAGGAACAAATTATATTCTTAAAATATTTTAAAATACAAAACAGTTCTTTTAAGTTGTAATACTGTTTTACAATATTATTGTTTTAATGTATTTTAATCAAATAAATTAAGCATTGGTGAGCAGAAGAGACTTCTTTCAAAACATTTTAAAAAATCTTGATTATTCCAAACCTTTGGCCAGTAGTGTATTAGTTAATATACTACTAATACTACCACCACTACTACTACTAATATTACAATTATTAATAATAATAACAATAATTTAACAGCAATTATTCATTATTATTAATAGCCTATATCATGATGTACATTAACACCATTATCATAATTAATAAATTACAGATTAAAAACAGTAAAATTAATGAATAATTAACCTGTTATATTCTATTCAAATCCATAAACAAACCTATTTATTTATTTATCTACGTATATATGTTTGTATGTATGCATGTAGCCTATGTACATGGTAACAAATGTTATATAACCTGTCCAAGTGCCCATACTTATTTAAATTATATTGTCTGTTTGCAAATTAGAAAGTTACACAACATCACAGAGTAAGATAAAGTCAGAAGATCATATAAATCTAACACTATCAAGCCGCCCTCAAGTGATAGGCTACCAGATAATGAAATCGCATAATAACACAAAAAGCGCAACTGCCTATGAAGCACGAGTCTAGAAGATGCACTTTTCCTCTTTTAAGGCCATCTAGACATGGCAACATTGCCCTCTTGTGGTAAAATTGAATTATTACACTCGCACACACTAATCACAGTAAATGCAATGTAGCCTAAAATAATTAAATCAAAACTCTTTTAGTGCCGCGCCGAACTCTCTGGAAACAAGTCAGAGATTGAACATTACGTTTTGATAGATAATCATGTACTAGCCAAAAGTTGTATGATATCGTGATTTATCAGTCTTAAGATAAAAAGATGTATTATTAAGATATCGGTGTTGTTAAAGCCTATTTAAATGACAGGTTAGACAATCCTAGGTTTGTGAAATGTATGACTAGTTAGAAACGTAGTTTTTAATTGTTTTTGCTCTGCCTTTTTGTTTTAATTGGAACGAATTAGACTGATGGCATCTTTACCTTGTCCATGTAACAGGAAATTTAGTCCGTAAGGAGCTCATTAAAAAGAGGCAGCATTCCCAAATGATCCACTTCAGGATCAGGAACAGTTTTCCATGCCGTTTTTCCAGTAAATCACATTAAGGAGTCCTGGTCATTGTCTTCTCTTTTGGACGCCACATAATGTTTACATCACCCTATTGAATGAATACGAGCATTATGTGAGCACTCTGCCTGGGTTATTATATCATTCACAATATTAAATTGAACGTTTGGCATATAAACACCTCCACCCCAAACCTAATGATATATGATACTGGTCGATCATTATTCATATTCTGCTCTCCTTCTGCCCATAAAACACGTGTGGCTGATAAGCAGCACTCCTTTAAACTTACATTTGAAAAAGCCGCTTGGGAGCTTCATCTGTCATCTGCAGTGAACGTAATCAACGAGTCTGCATAATCTGCTTTTGTATCTCAACCGAACTCCACCCGGTCACGCTGTAATCGGCCAAATCTATGAGACATCGAGCATGTAAGAGCTTTTTAATGTGTATCACCAACTCTGACATGAGCCTTGATGACACTTCCTGCAGACCCAGCGTCATTCTCTCCAGTCCTGTCTTGGCGAAAAAAGCAGTAAAACGTTACGAGACTAATGTTCAGTCCTGTCTGTTTGCTTTTCATTCTACTGTCTGCGGTCTGTTTCTTTCTTCACTCATTACCATGTTGAGTTCTGTGGGTGTTATAACACTGTTCATAACGTATTAGACACACTACCGTTCAAATGTTTAGTGTCAGTAAGTTTAAAAAAATATTAAGCAGCACATGATAATAATAAGAAATGTATATTGAAGAGTAAATAATCATATTAGAATGATTTCTGAAGGGTCACGTGACACTGAAGACTGTAATGATGCTGAAAATTCAGCTTTGCCATCACAGGAATACATTTTAAAATGTAGCCTATTATTGTAAATTGCAATAATATTTCGTCCCAAGCGTTTTAATGATACTTTGAATCATACACGACCACCATCATCCTCCTGAGGTAACAGAAGTTAAAATAGAAAGAATTTCTGAGATGAAAAAAAAAAAACACCTTTGAAATCTAAAAACCCTGGAAATCGTCTCTATATGAATGGTATTATAGGTGAATTTGTACTGTTGAATTCTCAACGCTTAAGCAGAAGGAAATGGTAATGTTTTTAAGACATAAAACGGTAAATTAAAACTCAAACGCAGCAATGTCTAAAGTGACCGTTTTATTCAATTTAGCTGTACAGGGCATATTACATAATGCCTTTCATTAAAATATAATGTGGCAAATACAATTAAAATGTCATGAGTTTTTATTTTACATGTGAAGACCATCAGCATGGGTACCTTTTCAATGCCTCACTGTCCATATGAAATCTTTCTTCACAGTAAACCCTAATGAAGGACTCACAGAGGGGGTCCTGTCCGACATAAACTCAGAAAACACATTTAATAAGCTCATCAATATCCATCATATATCCCCATCCTCTTGGTAAATCAACAGTCAGCGTTATGGGAAGGGTTTGTTAGGAATTCACATCAGGAAAATTATGTTTGAAATGAACAGTGACAGAGCCTGTGCCCATAGATTTCTGCAGTTTGTAAATATTTTGGTTATATTAAATCAATTCCGCAGATTTACCCTCAAAATTAAACACAGACAAGGTCTGTCTTAATAATCAGATCTCTTATAAATGACACTCTTATAAAAGAGATGTGCAGGAATATAGGACTTACAAATATGTACAACGCATGTATGTCATATCACAGTACGGTTTTCAGACTTAAATAAAAGTTTTATTTTGCATAAAAGAGAACTGTGAAAAAATCCATTTGCATTAGAACAGAATAAATCAAGAAAACAGAATAAAAATAAAAACTTCACAGAAAGATTTCTCACATTATAAACTTAAGAACAACACTCTTTACTGGAATTTGTAGAGCTAAGGCACTTTCTCTTTAAAGTCACTTTATATTTTACAGCATCATCTCAAAACACTGCTGTGGCCATTTGTGTGTGAGTTCTGAGATCATACTGCACTATTTAATACCTCTGAAGCATGTGTAATCTGAAAATGTGTAAATCCAATTTTATATGGTGTACTATATCACTCTATGTTCCTGCTGATAATAATGTCAACATTTTCAAAAGCAAAACATCACATGAATGGGTTAAAGACACACTTGATTGAGAGACACTGCATAAACAGTTATTTTCAAATATTAAATAACAATCAGACAAAAGTGCACGTGGCCTTTAAATGTTCATTTAGGAGAAACTCTCTTGAAATTTTGGTACTAAAACAAAGTATCTTCTGTGATTTGTTCTTGGTGGAGAGCATCAACACTAAGACATTCACTCATAAACTACATACAATAGCTGATTAAGCTATAATGTTGAGAAAATAAGTATTATGATACTGAATAAGAAGATCTTTCAAGCAGTATCAAAGTCTTGTTGGAACATGACGACGACAACAATAATTTAAAGATATACTGCATATGTTCACACATTAATAATACACTGACCTGTTTTGGTACCAATAAATATGTCTATGATGGCACAATTACAGACAATTACGCAATTACGCACGGCTGTGTGTGTCTGTGCTATATACATCACAAACGGGTCCACCTTTATGAAATGACGCAAACTGATATATATCATTACATGAGAAAACTATTTGGCACTGTGCATGAATTAGGTGTTCAGTTACTGAGACACAAGTCCCATTTACAATACTAGATTGAGGAATAATGCAACAATGATGAAGATCTCCAGAGAATTTCGCCAGTATTGTACTTCTCTTCCAGGTCGAATTTTAAGCCATAGCCGATGGACAGATGGACATGGATTAATAGAAGCTGCTACGTCACTCGGGCTGGTTGCAAAAAAGTGTTCTCATTAAAGCTGAGACACTCCAGACTTTGTATTTGATGATTCCTCTGTTTAAAGGACGGCCAAACAGTGGTCCAAATGTAGCACAGGTCTAGTGTGTTGTCCAAAAAAATCAAAGCAAGGAAACACTGTTACAGTACAGGTACTGTATCTCAGGAGAGTCTCCTGTCTGTGAGAGTTAGTGTGTTTTCATCAGCACACCACATTAT